ATAAAAATCAGATCACATGTCTGATCCATGCAAAAAGCGCAGCTATGCCCTTCCCTTTTCAAGAACATGCTGGGCAGAAAATGCATATACCAAACAAATTCGCAGTAAACAAGATGAACACAACAGTTGAAGAGGGAATTAACCAAATTTATCCTTTATTATTAAACACGAGGAATTAAAGGGATCTTTGATAAAAACAAGTGCGCCAAAGCAAGAACACAAGAGCACACTGTCGCTGTGCTGCTCATGTATACAACATTCACAAAGCAGCAGCTTCAGCAAGAAACGAGTCATCAACATTGTATCCGCAACGCTTCGTTAGAAAGTAGAAACACCTAAACAATAGAAGGAAAATTTAAGCCATTACTTTTCATCAATATGTTTAAAATTATGCTGTTAGGAAAAAATGTACGTAAAATGTGATATATATATATATATGCACACAAACAGAGAGAGAGAGAGAGAGATATATATATATATATATATATATGCACACACACAGAGAGAGAGAGAGAGAGAGAGAGAGAGAGAGAGAGAGAGAGAGAGAGAGAGAGAGAGAGAGAGAGAGAGAGAGAGAGAGAGAGAGAGAGAGAGAGAGAGAGAGAGAGAGAGAGAGAGAGAGAGAGAGAGAGAGAGAGAGAGAGAGAGAGAGAGAAGGAAGTGGGCTTATATAGTGTCCCATATAGAATAAATGAAAATGAATGCAACCCAAAATCCTCAAAATCAAGAAATAAATAACAAATTAAACCTGAAATATTATTAATAACAAATCCCCAATATCAGGATCTCCCACTCCAGTCTTCTCTTCTGCTTAGGCAGCCTAATTTTATATCTTTTGGAGTTGCGTAACCGAGGACGATAATCCTCAGCATTCTAACTACTGCTAATTCTATGGCTTTTAACTAAATTAAAGTGCAGTGCTATGCTATCTGCCATCTGGGTTTATTTATTTATCTTGCAAGATGTGATTGGAACAAAATAAAGTAATAAAATCCATTAAATTAGAAGTCTAAAACCCACAGTAACTGAGAAAAGGAAAAGCCCTAATGGATGAACAGAGAAATGGGGGTGGGGGTGGCATCGTAGTAATAGTACCATTGGATGGTGGAAAGACGAATCAAGAGACATGCTTGACGTTGTAAATGAAAGCAGCAGAACAAAGAATGCAAGCAATAAAAGCGAAAAAACCCAAACCAATCACCAAGGAAATCCCGGCCACCACCAAATCCATTATGCACGGCACACTCAATCCCATCGGCAGCACCATCTTCTACCCTGTCTTCAGTAGTATTCGTCCTACTTGGAAAAAGAACCCCGAGAAAAATGAGGGAAACAGTTGAATGAATTTCGTAAAAGAAACTGAGATCTGTATCCAATTTTATTAAACGGAGACGTTTTTTTTTTGGGAATTGCGAAAGTTTTTGACACCTGATGATGATGATGCGTGACTCAATCCAGATTTTTGAAGAAGAAGGGCCCGTTGCAGTCTGTAGTGTAGTGGCAGTGTTGGGCCTTTTTGAATGAATTATCTACGGGTCTCATATGGATCCATTTGGGCCTTGTTTCTCTTATTTTTGGAGTTTGGAGCTCAGAGGTTTTCTTTTATTCCTTTTTTTTTTTCTTGACGATAAAGTTTTGTTTTTTAGTATCATTTTTTTCTTTCTAGAACCAACCTGGAATCATGGTCGGTTCCACCACCCCCCAATTTTTTTTTTCATTTTTTTCTCAACTTTGTGATTAGTAAGTTTCGTAGCAATTAATAAATATGATATGTTTCCATTTCTCTCATGCGCATAATAATTTTTTTTAATAATTTAAATATTTAATTGAAAAAAAACACAAAAAATAAAAAATAAAAATAGAGATAAGTAATTAAGAAAACAATGGAGACATAGAAGCTCAAATAATAAAAATAAATTGGAAAGCACTAAAATTTGTAAAATTATAGCTTTGAATCTTTTATTACTCCCATTTTATTTTTTATAGCTTTGAATATTTTAAAAAATTTTATTAGAAGATATATTAAAATAATATTTTTTATTTTTTAATGTTTATTAGAAAATCTAAAAAAACTTTAAAGAATTAATTTTAAATTAAAAATATATATTTTAATCATATTATTAAGTACCCGTAAAACCAATAAAAGCTACAGCATAATCGTAACATATCCCGTAGCACATATTTGTTGGTACTTGATATCTTATTATCAAGTGAGAAAGGTCTATTTATTTATGTTTTAAAAGTATTTAAAAAAAAATTATTTATTATTTTTTATTGACTTTAAATTAATATATTTTTTATATTTTAATATTATTTTAATATATTAATATCAAAAATAATTTTTTAAAAATAAAAAATATTATTAATATATATTTTAACATGATAAATTATTTATAAAATAATTATAACTGCATTTCTAAATAAACCTAAAATCTTTATACACATTTTCTAGTTACTCAGATGGGGATGGAACATGTCTCCTCATCCACAGTAATAATGTCTCTGTCCTCTGTGCACTCCATTATTTCCTAGGGCTCATTACCACCTCCATCCATCTTCTTGACCAAATTTATGGTATTGATGCAAGCTCTAAGCCTTTTTTCTTTTTCTTTTTTGAGGTATGGATTAGTTTCTTAAAATTTTTTATTTAAAAATATATTAAATTAATATTTTATTTTTATTTTTAATATAAACATGTTAAAACCAACATAAAAAAATATTAATTTAAAATAAATAAATTAAAAATTTTCAAAGCACAATCTAGACGCGCAAATAAACACTATCTCCATCCAACTTCTTCTCCCTCTCTCTCTCTCTCTCTCTAAGGAATTTGCAGCACATTTTGATCATAAATTTTTAGTTCCCATGACAAAACCTTAAAACTGCAAATGTTTTTGTGCTCCCTTTTGTTAGTTGCTAGCAATAATTAATCCTGGCATCGGATTGGGTTTTAGGGTATTTAGAGTATTTTAGGCTGTTGCATAACTAAAGATGACCCTGGTTACTTTCTGCTTGGAGAATATAATATTTGATTTAGAATATAAAGATGGCCATGATTCCTTCTGGGTTTTCAACGATCCCATAAAACTCAAGAAATGATCTCATTCTGCGGTACAAAGCGTAGAGTGTTTGATTAGCAGGCCCATGGTTGATCATACAGGCTGTATCTACACACAAGATATAAGGGGACCATGATCCGTACACCACATTTTTCTTTCCCTCTGTTTTTAACTCTCTTATTTGACCAGTGATATTTGGGTAGTAATCAGTTTTACATTTTCATTTAATGGCAGAAATGAACTCACAGTTTTGAATTGATCAGATTATCATAACAGATTATCCAACTGTGATATGTCTTCCACTGCTCCACCATAAAATAGCATTAGTATAATGATTGTGCATTTGGGCACCTATTGTTGTTTGCCATTTATTTGGCAACACCATTAAAAAACATATGGATTGATGATTACAATCACCAATCTAATTTATATATCTTTTCCCAGTATATGTTTTATCCTCTCGTTGATTTACCAAGATCAGTTCCAGTTGTAAGTTGAAGATGTTTAATATTTCTTGCAAGAATATGGATGCATGACACTTGGAGCAAAGATGCGACAAGGAAAGTGCTAGTAAATTTAGTATTCATACAGCAAATTAAGGAAAAAGGAAAATAGAATACAAAATCACGGGGTTTATATGATTCGGTTAAACTTGCATTGATTTTGCTGAGCATTCTTATTTTTTTTTAGCTTATGATGATGCTCTACGGACTCTGAATTTTTCTCCCCAATTAGCCAACAAAGCTCTCCATCAACTTTAAGCACATTGACTTGCAACTCATTGCAAATTGAGATTTAGATAGTTTTCAAACCCACTGTGAAAAGGTGGAAAACAAAGGTAGCCACTGAATTAGTTCAGAACAAATACATGAACTAGAATATTCATTTAAAAACCTTGGAAGAAGAATTTCTGATTAAATGGAGAGGAACTTTTTAGGCGATCAGCTATTATCCTTTCAGCCTGCACAAGGATTGAAAAAAAATCCAGCACAATGGAGATTTTGTCAAAATATGCGGTTGATTTTGTTCAAGTCAACCATGAAACCATCATGGTACTAACATCACCTCATATATTCGTCAGGATTAGAGTCAGGGCACGTTTCATTTATGTCCTTTATCTATAGGAACAGAACCTTATGCAAAAAAAGAAGAAAGACAGGATGCGAGGAATAGACAGACTTGCTGATGTAGCTGTATATGCCATTATTACAGAAAGGAACCATCGCAAACAACACCTGAAGCAAAGGCTCCACTATTGATGAGAAAACTATGTAAACTCTACTCGGGCAAAACCAAGTTAGGCAGGGCAACGATGTCCTCACAAAAAGCTACGAATAGTACTTGAACTGTTTGAGGGCGTTTTAGTGGATAGCCTTTTCAAACGTTTCTACAAGTAGTTGTTATTTGTGAGATTAGTCACTACCACCAGCACCTCCACCACCATTTGTCTTATTGCCCCTGCTATCGTGAGCAATACTTGACCTAGCTATGGGACCTCCCTTTGGCTCGGCGTGAACGGAAACTGTTCTGACAAGGTCCACCACTGGCAGGAATTTCTTGGTTCTTCATCATTTTTAAGTACACCTGAGAAAAGTATTGCTTACTGTTACAGTGAATGAAACAAAAATTTGTAACGTCAGAAATCATTATTTGTTTCTCATTTATTTTTCTTTCCTTGATTTTCCATTCTTAGGTTTTGTCGAGTTCATGTGCGATTAATGATTCTGGTTGACTCGATTAAACTTTGATGGGTTCTTAAGTTAATGATAAAAGTCGTTCAGGCATTATTAGTCTTTTATATGTTCCTAATGGACCCTTTGGATATATCATTTTCAAGTAGTGATTTTGTTTGCTTGTTGCACTAATGCATACGCGGGAAGAAGATTGATTGCAAGTAATATAAAAGGAATTGATTGTTTTAAGGAATGTGCAAGATGGTAATGAAGCCAAGGAGGCGAATGGTTAGAAAGCTGTTATTGCAGATGGAAGCTAAAGTTAACATCGATAATCATCTCAAACAGAAGGAACATGAAGTAGATATTATAATGGCAAAAGATCTCTTGTTTTCAATGAAGCAAGTCTACAGAACTAGTGACAGATTGGTTTGAGGATTTAGATCTGACATGGGCTGTGTTGCAGGGGACCTCTGCAAGATCCCTTAAAGCAGTGGCAGTGTAAGGGCTGCCAATTTGCAGGTCAGTAACCATTTGGCGAAGATCAGAAGCTTCGTTTTTGAGCCGTGCATTCTCTTGAAGAACCCGGTCATGACACTCAGACACATGATTCAGCTTGTCTATGAGATTGTGGTTCTCAGTTCGCAGCCGAACTACCTGAGTCCATAGCTCATCTAGGTGCTTCTGTTTCCTCATCCTTGACCTGCGAGCAGACTCTCTATTGGAAATCATTCTCCGCTGCTTCCTCTCGTCGATGATGCTGAGTTGGTGCTCCTCAGATTCATCTGAAGTTGAGTTGTTGCTGAGACTTGAGGACTGTGGAGTGAATTCACGAACCGGTTGAGGGAACGATGAGCTCTGCAAGTTGTTCAAGAGTCTGTTGAAATGGAAGGCTGGTATGCTGCTTTGTTGCATCATGCCGAAATTAGCCGGGAATGGAATCAGGCTTTGATCAGGTGCTATATAGTGAATTCCTGTGAGCTCGCCTGGAAGCATGGCTAGAATTCTTGAGAAGATACTTCAAGGGTTTGTAATCGGAGATTGTGGTAATGAAGAACATCATGAGGATTGGAGGGGTTTTATAGTTGAGAAAAGGCTAATGAGGTGGGCCAATTTCAGCAACATGTATTAACAGTATCAGTAGCTCACAGAGCAGAATTTAAAACAATTATTGTGAATGGTAACATAAATCTTGTTATCTCATGTATGCATATTTAAGGATAGAAATGCACACATCCACTTATAATCTCCTAAAGGCAAGTGGATGCTGTCTTCAGACCAGGTAATGAGATGTTGACACATGCTATTATATGCATGTGTGCTTGCTATTTATGTATGTGTATATGCAACTGATAATGCAATCATAGAAATTTGATCGTTTGGATAATCATTTGGCTGAGATATGATGCTTGCTACAGAAAAGTTGATGATGCGGGGAATGTGATTATTTAAAAGTGAATGCTTTGGAATAATAATAATAAGAAGGAAGGAGAGAAATGATGTTTTAAGTCAATCTCAAAGAAGGTTTTCCTCATAAGCCAGGACAATTTCAGTGCCCTACTGGAACTTATAACTCCACCAGCCAATAACAATAACTCATGCTCTATGACGCAAGGAAGTTCAGTTTAAAAGGTAAGTAGGTTAAACAATACTACTGAGTTTATATGACCATTTTGTTTCTGTTTTTTTAATTAATTATATTTTGATGACTCGTTCAGCACTTGCAATTTGGGATTAGAGGGTCCATCAGAGGGGGATTATCGATTAGTTAACATCAAGTACCTAAATCCCATCCTTTTCATTTTTCTTTCTAAAGCTTTTTATGGAAACTGAGCCTTCGGGCAAAGAAATACCCTGCCCAGGTTCCTCTTAATCTTGTATTGTTTTGTCAAGGCAAAAAACACGAGTCGTTGAAGCCATAGCCTTGGTGATATTGATTGTCCAATGTCAAAATTGAACTATAGCAATGTCAACCGAACAGTTTGCCTACATGATAAGGAAGAGGAAAGTCAATGGACTTCATTATTTTTTGTTTTTTCTTCAAGGTCTTAAACCATGTGTTTTATTAGGACCTTATTACTAGCGGGGAGACATTGCGTTTATCAGTAACTAGACAACAGTCCAACTGTAGAGCAGTTCACTTGCATCATCGTGATGTTGGGGAATATGTGCCTCTTCAAGAATATAAATTTCTGGCATTCTTTCTTGAAACCTCAGCACTAGGGCATGCATATACATTAGAGCTCTTTTTTTTCTTTTTTCTTATTTATCATATGCCCGGCTTCTCATCTACATCTCCTTCTGGCCCACCGGTTTGGACTATAATATCAAGAAGATTAATATTATTAAAGAAGATTAGATCAAAAAAGTCTTAACAAATCTTAGAGGCAGCAACTTGCAAACGCAAGTGTGTGTATGCTATTTGTTTAACAGTGCTGAATATTCCATTAATCCCTCTCTCTTTAGTTTCTGCAATAAACTATGCTCAGTTTAGATGATCCCCCACTATGGAACTTCACTTCAACTTCCTTTCAGCTCTTAAATTCTTTTCTAGATCAGAATAAAAGTTAGGGATGATAAATTAAACAATGATATTTCATGGAACACATCCACAGAAGGCAAAGCTCAACTTGTGTTTGGTCATCATGGGGCAGCCGATTATTTGTTTCTTTGTGAAACTTTCAGTGGCTGCGTATTGGTCAATGTGCATGATGCATTTCCATGATCTGAAAATTAAGCTGCTAATAGATTTGGCAATCCCCTCATTAATTATTAAGCTTGGTGATGGATACTGTTTTTTTTTCTTTTTTTGCCCCTGAACTTGCATTTCTCTTGCAACCTGCCAAAGTTACTTGCTATTTCTACAAGATCGTGCATTCAAAAGCTGAAAAAGAGGTAAGAAAAACAGAACATGAAAAAAAGTCCCGCTTTCCTTGCTGAACTTAATTTGTTTGGGATGTGATGGGAGCCACTAGTGACTGTCCTTAGTATATGGAATATGGTAGTTTTACTTTTGGTTGTGTATTTAGTGCAAGAATGACATGGTGCAAGTAGAGAGACAAGAAAAAAGTACTGATCACGCCCCTTGCTTTTGATTTGCGATCAATGTGCTACTTTTGCTTATAGCCACAAAAATGGAAAATATGAAGCTAAAGCAGCCATTTAGTTGTGATTTACCGTAATGGATTTGACATTCAGTAGCTGAACCAATTCAGACACTCAATTTGTAAATAAAACATTTTCTGCAAAGAAAAGGAGGGTGAAAATCTTGTTTATACCATGTAAAGCCTGCCAAACCAAGTTGGACAAGACATGATAGACCGAAGGCAAGTTATGTGGTAAAAGCGACACAAAACTAAGATGTTCCATGGCTACAATTGATAAATGTGAGTGCCTAGTACATGCTATTTCTGGAAGGTGAACGGCATGCCAGCCATAATCTCATCAAGTACAAGATGCAGCAAATGAATGTTAAAAGAGATCAGAGGACAAATCTTGTCCTTTTAGATATGATTTTCCAGGTTCACCTCTCTTAAAAGAGATCATGGAACAAAAGGAAGCATCAGAATTAGAACCTGCATCCTTTTTAGACCCGAATCGTTGCAGAGGAGCATTTAGTGCAGGGTGTCATTGGTAAGGTTAGGCCTGTATAACATACACGATCATTACTCTAGCAGAATCAGTTCATATTATACATTTTCATAATATTGCCTGCACCGCTATCGTATCTCATGCTGTTTTTGTTACGATGCTACAGGGAAAAATAAGAAAGTGCCTTGTTATCAATAGATCCATCAAATCACATTTTGCATGATAAACCCTCAGGAAATGCCAAAGAATGCACAGAACAACACTATGCAAACCCACACAAGAATAAAATTCATGAAGATGCTTTGATTTGATTAATCATTGAACATATTGGAGAAGGCTTAATTCAGGGTCCTACCAATTAATAGGAAAACAACAAAAACAGAAAAAAGATATCATCAGCAACCAATATAGCTGCTGCAACTTGTTTTTCTTATCCACAATTACGAATCCCCCATCTATTCATTCCTAGTCTAAACATATAGCCATAGCTGAAACGCAGACACGGAAAGAGAAGGCACCGTCAAAATGACTATAAGTGCTAGGTACGGAAGGGGACTGGATTTAAAAGCTACATATGGTGCCCAAGCATCATTTTTGGGAGGGTAACACATTGAATTGAAACAACAGATCATGCTCCCTGCTGGGCGCCATATATTACCGTGGGTGCCTGGCGCACCTCTCCCACAAAATTGCACCGCCTGTCAACTAACCTCCGATAAAGGCCACTTGCATCTCCCCCCCTTTCTTTGACTAGTATGGAACGTACAGGAACAGGCATACGAAAGCATTCTGGCAAGAATGTTACTTAACCTGCAGCTCCATAAGTTATTCATCTCTGCGTAATTAAGATTTAAACTTCAATTTCGACTAGACTATATGAATTCTATATATGCTCTTTAAATCTTAATTTCACAGCAAATGAACCGGGGACATGGTGATAAATACATTAATTAAATATGTAACTAATATGAAAATTAAAATCTGGGCCACTATGTGTTTCTTTTTACTGCTTTTGAAAGATGCATGCAGTTTCTAACGAATTTCTCTCCATTTTCAGTTGCATAGTCATCTTTTTTTCACGCGTCACCACCTGAAATGAGGCTCCTGAAAATTCCACGAGGCCACAGGACACCACATCAAAGTCTGTTTTCAAACTTTTTCAGGCTTCTCCATCATGGGCTTGAAATTGTTGGTACCATCATCTCTGTACCGTGTGTGCATTGTCTCCACCTTCCCCCCACTCAAACAACCCAACTTTAATTTTTTCCTCTCTTTACCTCACAAATTTTCTAGATGGGGTCATGGCATTTTGTAGTGATTGGTTGAATAAGGATAAGCTCTCATCATCATCATCTACCATTTGTCTTTCCTCCTCAGCTATTTTTTTTTTTCATGATCTCTACATTCTTTAAAAAGCCAATACACCAATACGCATTTTATAATCTTCTCATTAGCATTGTTGTCCACAGCATGTAACTTTGTGTTTTATAATAATGATGGTGGACAGTGCATTGAGAATAACATTACTAATTCGCACGCATGCATTTAATCCTGCTCACGTATGATCTTAAGGTCGTAATCCGCTTGCAACGTGGATATTAAAAGTTGTTTAGCTGTTTCCAGATGATCAATTGTCAATATTGTTTAGTCACTAATTTATGCTATTTTGATGTAGCTAGCTAGCACGTCTCCTTAATCTCCTACCAAGCTATTGCCACTGTGTGGCGTCGTCGTGTCGAACAATGAGAGATCAAAAGTTTTTCGACAGTAGCCTGATTGATCATTTGATATTTGCTTGCTGAAAGGATTGGTCACCGTCTCATATTCTTCCCAGAAGTATCATGAAGTCAGACTGTTGACAAACTTGCAACCAGTAGACGTGCCACAGGGATCCATCTCTATCTCTACTGAAAACAAAATATTTTTCGTGCAAAGCTTCTCCTGCTAATTGATAGGCTACTTTCCTCTAGTGCCATCTCTTTTAAAAAATATGAAGGGACATAGGTTCCAATGTTGTTATGCTAGGCTAATTGATGATATTCTAAATTAGAAATAGATTCTTTAGTGCTTAGATATATTATATTATGAGTTAATCAAAGGTTGTAATAATGTAGTTTATTCTTCATAATTTATAAAATCTGTAGCTTATTGTAGAAAGCCTATAACATGCAAAATAGTTTTATTTAATAAAATTTGGAGTCTCTCAAATGAAAAAATCATTAATTTTTATGTAAATAGTTACAATGAATAAGAGAATAAACATGTATTATTAAAAGCAAAAGTATTTATTTTTATTTTTGATATGTTAAATACTCTTAAAGTAAAAAAGTTTTTTTTAATGAAAATAAAAATTGTGAATTCTTTACCCGTATAATTCTAGATATATTTATACTCTAATTTAACAAGATATCTTTTAAGGATTTAAGAGGTTTTTATACTCTTACAACACTTTGTTACAACACTTTGTTAGGATAAATATTCATGACATTAATACTAATATGAATGTGATATCCTTAACATTAATATTAATGAGGATAAGAGATGAATATCCCTTGTATTAATAATATTTTATGTTAAT